CTTTGTTGAATATCATCTTCTAAGAAAAATATTTTTTGATCTTCATCCTTAATACACTTCACTTAAACTAAATCCTTACTACTCCTACCTCTTTGTTTGGCTAATTTATACATATATCTTTATCCCTCAGTACTATCTAATTTATTATATAAATCCCTAAAAGGTAAGGTCTTTGTATCGCATATTGCATTTGGATTTCACTACCAACTATTTTTACTATTAGGAGCTTTTCCCATATAATTTCTTTTATCAATAATATAAAATAGAAGAGTAATAATTATATTGATTAAATCATCAATATATAGTAGTCAAGAGTTACACAATCGTAACATATAGTCAATCTACTTATGACTACAAAAGAACAACTAAATTAAGAAAATAATAGAAAACTTGGAGATTCTATAATTGGTCAGTTTCATACTCCCAATCTCTTATCTGGTTTGAAATTATTTAAATAACATATAATGAGATAAAAAGTCCAACATGTTACTAAATTATACAATCTAACTAAGGTTTTTCTAGTTTAAGGAAATATCAGGTAGTGAGAAAGCACCAACAGAGGAGGAAGAAGGTTTGGTATTAGTGGTCGATATGGGCAAGGAAGGTAATTGAGGGAAATAAGAGGAGGATAGGGCCATCGAAAGTAGCATTTTGTGGAGAAATCTTGTAGTGTGTTCGTAAAAATGGCTTGAGAAGGGAGAAGATGGATGAGAGGATTTCATAGGGAAAGAAAAAAGAAGGGGATTGGAGCCTTCGATAGCCATGGAAGAAAAGGAAGAGGAGGAAGAAGCGAAATCCCAATGAAGGAGAACGATAACACAGGGAGGCTAGCTCAAAGGACACGAGTGTCATAAATAGACACTTGTTAAACTTGAAGTTTCCTAAAGATTCTACTCCTTGGAGAAAAAATATCTCTAAGTCTTAAATGAATATTTTGTACTAAGCCCTGCTTAATACTAATCTATTGAACTGACAAAGTATCTTAAAGGACTTATAGAGTCACCTATTCATAAAGTTGATATTTTAAGAGAAGTCGGCTACTCATTTAGAACACTCATCTAATTAATGGATCTCGTTATAACAACTTTTTTTTATATTTAGGCTGATTAAGGCAAACTCACGCACACATCACATACGCAAGTTTAGAACATAAGACCTCTTGGTTGGTAGCCAAAGCTTTTAACCAACATATCAAGTTAAGTTGCATTAATTGGTCTCATTATAAGAACTTGTTAAGAGTGATCATGCATAACTCAAAACTCTCAAGGACCTTTTGCTCACTAAACAACTGGAGAAGCATAAGTGAGGCAAGCTGACTCGTGAACCGGTTTGATCTCGACTTGATAAATGACTTGTGAACCAATGTCACAACACAACCCGATAAAACCAGATATCACACAAGTTATTTTGTGTCTGATTGTAGCAAGCTGATGATCCTAAGATCTAGTTGGAGAAGTACTGAAACAAAATTTTCAATTTATATGCTACACAAAGCAACTATTGCATTGTAATATAAAGTGAAAGACTATTGAATTTCACAATATATGTTGTAGGTATGTTTTTGCTAGTTTTGACATTTATTTTTATTATGCTCTTTATTGTCAAATGTTATTGCAGATAAATTTAAGATTATACATACTTTGGATGATATATAGAATATCATGTTGAGATTCAATAGTCTTTCACTTTATATTGAAACTCAATAGTGGTTATGTGCAGCGTATAAATTATAAGTTTTGTTTCAGTACTCCTCCAACTAGATCATGGGGATAGTCTTTTCACAATCGGACACGGTATGACCTGTGTGATATTATGTCATATCGGGTTGGGTTGTGACAACCGAGTTTAATGAGCTAACAAGTTAAGCTTGGACGAGCCCCGACTCGACTCATTAGCTCGCGAGCCGGCTTATTTAAAAATTATCAATATACAATATACTTAAAATTTATTAGGATTCAAGATTTTAAATATAGTCGTTAAAAATATTTAAATTGTATATCCCTTTATTTTTCTCATATAAATTACAGTTATTATTTATTATTTTTCTTATAATTTATCATTTTTTTTACCTTTTTATTATAATAATGCTTAAATTAGAATTATTTTTTCTCTTTTTTAATAAACAAACTAGCTCTTGAGCCCACTCAAACTCATAAAATAAGCTCAAATTCAAACTAGATTAAGTAATTAATTCAAGTTCAAATCTGAGGTGACAATACACCCCTTAACAACTGTCAACAAAGCTCGTTTGTTATGTAGTCAGTCATGCCAAACTCATTTACGTACTTTATTCGCGCAATTCTTTATACAGTATATAGGATCTTCGTCAAATCAATTTGATTAATCCACCTAAATAAATAATTAAAAAATAATAAATTCAAATTAGCAAAAAGATTAATTGACTAATTGAATTAGTCAACACAAATAAAATAAGACTTCAATTAAGATAATATTTTCACAATTTTTTAAAATAACTTTTAAATATAATTTTTTGAACTAAAAATTTTTATACAAGAAAAATACTTTAGAAAATAATAAAAAGCTGTTTCAAACGAAGTCTAAGGCTTCGTTTGGGACATCGCTTTTATTGCTCGTTAAAACAGAGTTTTAGTACAAAATTAAATTTTTGTACTAAAATTCTATTTTAAGAAGAAATAAAAAACTACAGCTTTGTTTGGAACAGCTTTTTAGCTGATTTTTAAAGTTGTTTTTAATATAAAAATTTATAATTCAAGAAAATTTGAACAAGGATCTAGTTTTAGAAAGCAACAAAGAAGCTGCCCCAAACAAAGCCTAAGGCTTTATTTGGAGCAGCTTTTTATTGCTT